TTTAAAGCAGCATCGTTGATGGTTGTAGCAATTGTAGTATTAAAGCAGAGTAGTAATAACTGTTGTTATTGTGTGGTTGTAGTAGTAGCAGCAATGAATCAAATACAAAACTGTTTATACTATGTGGTAGGTGAATGGACGAATGGATGAACAAAAGGGTGAACGAATGGATGAACAAATGAATGAACGAATGGATGAACAAATGGATGAACGAAGGAACAGACGGATTGATGGATGGACAGCAAGGGGATGACATGATAATTAGTTGGAATGAAGGCAGTGGTGAGAAGAAAGGACAACGAATGGTTATGACGGTGGCGATAATGGAGAGTCTGACGATAATTGAAACTAAAGTGCATCACCACGATTCCAAAGATCTTAACTACTAAGGCTGTACTCCAATACAAAAGAGAAAAAAATTAATAATACTAACATTATTATTATTATTAAGAATAATAATAATAATTTTATTATTATTCTATAAAAATTATCATTATTAATAACAATACTAATAATTCTGCCGACTAAGACGAATGTTTAACGAAATGCTCAAGTGATCGAAGACTTACCAAAAAAAACATTTTACTCGAATTTTAAACTTAACTAACAAATTATATTCAATTAATAATAATAATACTAAGTTATTATTATTATTAACATATCGTTGTTTTTGTGTGAATGGTATAAATGTCGGTGATGCGTTCTTATTAGCGTTGGTGTGATTGTTGATGAGTTGTTGTTAGTGTTGTTGTGATTATATTGTTATTGTAATGTAGTTGTTGTAGTCGTACGCTTATTTTCATGTAACAAACAACATTCGAACGTTACCTATATGCTACTATCAATAAAATACCTGATTAGTTGATCGTTTATTAAAAACACAGGGTTCATTACATTATAAAATAATATTTATCATCTGGCAGTAAATAAAAAATTATAAACACACACACACACATTTATATATACATATAAATATATATATATATATATATATATATATATATATATATATATGCAATTATTAGTGAAAATCACAGCATGTTCATCAATAATTGCATTTCCTATATATATATATATATATATATAAAAATATATAAGCCGGAAGGAGACCATAATTGATGCAACATTCGATAAAATCTACAGAATGTGTGTGTGTATTTAGGTTTGCATGATAAAAACTTTGTTAGGAAAATAAAAAAAGTTTAATGCCAAATGAGTAATATGCATACAAGAGTATATATATATATATATATATATATATATATATATATATATATATATATATATATAATTAAAACAACGATCAACATTATGAAATTATCACCAGCCATCTAACCATTACAAACACTTACGCAAACATAGAAACAAAGTTCCTCGGACAAACCAACAAACATTTAAACAAACAGTAAGACACACAGATAGACAAACATCTTTATAACGACCCTTCTGAAATAACATCCAAAAATGCCAAACAGCCACAAACAGCAAACAAAACACCAAGAATAAACTAAACAGTTTCCAAATCAAAATCAGGATCCGTTGAACCAAAACCAGAAATCCGGTTTTGACGAATGCACATCTAAAAATTCAACTAGTCGATGAATTTAAACAGCTGATGCCAATGAGCCAGCTTTATATGGTACTAACGAAGATAAAAAAAAAACATACACACTCCACGCAAACAAACGCAATAGTTAACAAACAAATCTTTACACAACAAACATTCAAAACAAACAAACAAACAAACAGGCATACATACATCTACCCATTCAAACAAGTAACATACATCAATCCATCCTCTCACTCATTCGTTCATTCGTCGAAAGGCAGCAAACATCTATCAAAACATGACTTGACATGGAATAAAATTCAAAAATGGTTAAAATTATAGAGAGAGAGAGAGAGAGAGAGAGAGAGAGAGAGAGAGAGAGAGAGAGAGAGAAAGATAGATAGATAGATAGATAGATAGATAGATAGATAGATAGATAGATAGATAGATAGATAGATAGATAGATAGATAGATAGATAGATAGATAGATACAAAGATAGATAGAGATATATATATATATAAACACTAATCATCATTATCCAATGCGTCACGATAATTTCAATAAAATAAATAAATCAATCAATCAATTAATTAATTAATCATCCTTAATTAAAATTAAAATCTAAAATCAATAAACAAATCACACTAATATTAAAACGTTAAAATCATACATCTAATCATCAATAGGAGATAATAATAATAATAATAATAATAATAATAATAATAATAATAATAATAATAATAATAATAATAATAATAATAATAACAATAATAATAATAACAATAATAATGATGTAATACCAAAACTATATATAACGTCAGCTAACGGCATTAACAGAATAATGATGAAAATAATAACAACAATAATAATTATAAATAATAATAATAGTAAAATTTCGTAACAATATTAAAATAAATTAAACAAAATTAATGACAACAACATCATCAGTGTAATTAATTAATATAGCAATCGCCATAAAATAGCGTTGGTTCGTAACTTTAATACTTATCAATCTTAATACAAAATTACGGAAAATCGGGCGAAACGAACTCCACCACCATCATCATCGTCGTCATCATCAGCAACATCGTCATCATCATCATCAACCTCGTCGTCATCATCATCAACATCGTCATCATTAATTATCAATTATATAAAGTTTCTAATAGTCCAACACAGTTTGTTTGGCAAAGTTGTAACGTAATAATGCAATGTAATACAGTACATTAGGATGGTATACACTAGACAGTGGAGCGCCGTGCGCGAGTAGAAAGCAAGAACTATGCGCCAGTAAGTACAACAAATAAATGCAGTACGAAATATTACACAGTACAAAAATAAGTACAGTACAAAAACTAATATCAAGCTGAATTTTTATACATACATACATACATACATACATACATACATACATACATACATACATACATACACACACACACACACACACACACACACACACACACACACATACATACAAACATATTATATATGTATGTATAAACTCTACGAGCCTCTAATGACGATGATGGCTGGTTGTAATGATGGAGGTGGTGATGAAGATGATGAATGGAAGATAGTATGCCATGATCATCTTCATCATTATCATCATCTTTATAATTATCATCATCTTTATAATTATTCTCAAGTAAGCATCATCATCGTCATCATCAAATAGAAAAAATATATATATATATTGACAGGAGAACACGATATGACATGCATGAAGTTGCACTTGTTATTGACACAAAATGATAAATCATAACCACCATCATCACCATCCTCATCATCATCATCACCGTCCCGACGCCTACGTCATTTAATCACGTGACGACATGTATCTGGAGATGGCTCGCAATCCGTAGAGAAGCTCTGACTGGAGCCTTGCCTCGTGGATCATTATGTTCACATGGACCTGTGTGTGAGTGTGGATGTGTGTGTGTAAGAGAGAGAGAGAGAGAAAGAGAGAGAGAGAGAGAGAAAGAGAGAGAGAGAGAGAGAGAGAGAGAGAGAGAGAGAGAGAGAGACAGAAAGAATATATGTGAATGTGTGCTGATGTGTGCAGATGTGTAACTGCTTGCTGACTATGTGACTATTGTGCCTGACTAGTACAATCTAATCTCCATTCATACATCATCCATCCTTTTATTTGTTACTCCTTCAATAATTTTTTATTGAGAAATTTGCGGCCAAAATCACGGAGGCCAGATCGCATCGCAAAGTACGCGCTGACTATCTTAATTAGAAATGTGCATCATCTATACAATCCATCCACCATCTATACAATCCATACATTCATCTATACAATCCATACATGCATCTATGCAATCCATACATGCATGCATGCAGGCGAGCAACCTATACAACCCATCCATCCATACATGCAGGCGAGCAAGCAAGCAACCTTTTCGGAGGGCATGAACTCCTTCATGCACCCGTCGTACATGCTCCTGTCGACCGTCTCAGGGAAGCAGGTGACGGCCTTGATGTAGGTCCTGAGGTTGGTGTCCAGCAGGCTGTTGATCTCCTCGTAGTTGTAGTTGTCGTGCATCAGACCGAACATGCACTGCGTGTAGTGCCACACCGCCCGCCTGAACGTCGTCGTGTCGATGTCGTGGTGCCTGCCTACGCTGCAAAAGGTGCCGAGGTTACAGTTAGTGAGTTCGGTTATTTTGAGTTAGTGAGTTTAGTTATTGTTTTTAATCCATTTTAATCCATTTTATTATTTTGAGTGAGTTTAGCTATTTGCTCAGCTGCCTAATCTGACAATCGGTTTGTCGGTTAGAAGATTAATCACTTAGCGTATCAATCAATTTAAAACCAATTTTCCAGCAAAGAACAAATTTAGATGAGAATATATAGCCAGTCAACCAACCAACCAACCAGACAACCAGCCAGACAACCAACCAACCAGCCAGAAACCACAAGACCACAAAAGACCGCATCATACTAACGTGTTGTACGTCATTTCCTTGGCGACATTGAACTTTCTATCGAGAGCATGACCCGCCGCCTCGCCGTAATACACGCACGTCAAAGGGCAACCATGCTCGTGCCAAGAATAATCCGGCACTGGAAAGTGGTAGAGGTCAGGGTTCAAGGTCATCTGAGTAGCGAAGTCTTCGTAGGCAAAAGAGGGGTCCAGCGTGTAAACTAGGCAACGATTCTCTTGCATCGTTCGAATGGCGTTTGCCCCCAACACTGGTGGTGGTGGTGTTGAAGTTGGTGGTGATGTTAGTCGTTGGTTGATGATTTCGGTAGTGTTGAGGATGGTGTGAAGTGTAATTTGTAAAGTGTTCATTGCAATGTCACGATGAAAACGATAATCATTTTACTATAAAACATACACACATAAAGACAAGCACAGACTCAGAAGAATGACATACAAACACACACTTACAGACAAACAGACATACATACATACAAACAAGCACACATGTATTGATTGCTGCACATGCACACGCCTGGGCTCACATGAAAAAGTGCCAATAAAGCATCTTTACGAGCCCCAGCAAGCACGAATATTTGCATGGAACACGCAAACAGATAACATCCAGATACACAACAACAACACACGTTTAGACGACATTTGGCTACCTATGATGAAACCGAAATACCCCTTGACGCCATCCACATCTGTCACTCGCCTCAGTATCACGCAACCCCGCTTTCATCCTGTCCTTCTCCACCTGCTCTCTCCATCCTAATCGCGGACGACCCCTTCCTACCAATCCTTCAACCTCGAACTCCAACGCTCGCCTAATCCCGACCCTTTCATCCCTTCTCAACACATGTCCATACCACCGCAATCTCGATCTCCTTATCAATGTCACAATGTCCTCATTCAGTCCCATCATTGACATCAGCTCTGTACTACTCCTCCTATCCTTCACTTTAACCCCACACATCATCCTCACCATAGCTCTTTCAGCCCTCTGCAGTACACTTTCATCCTCTCTCCTCAACACCCAAGTTTCACCACCATATACTATCGCTGCTCTCACACATGCTTTATATACCCTCCCTTTCATCTTCACTGACCATTTTTTTCCACACAATACCCCACCCAGTTCCCTAAATTTCATCCATCCCACACGAACTCTAGCCGTAACTGCGCTCAAACATCCTCCACCCGCGTTCAGCTTATCCCCTAAGTAAACAAAGCTTTCCACTCTTTCAATACTACCACTCAACCCCGTCCTTGCGTCCGTCCTATTAATCACACCATGAACACATTTCTTACATTTGAACGTGCCTTCCACCTTTTTCAGTGCCCCCCTCACACCACTACATCTCTTATGCACCCATTTCTGACATCCTATACACAATACCGAGTTAGCCTTCACTCTCCTGTCACATACCCCATAGGGGTCTATTTTACTTATCACTCGCTCCCCACCTTCCCCACTCACCATTACCTTCGTCATACCAATATTAACTTGTAACCCTTTCTTTTCAATAACACTTTTCCATCTGTCAAATTTTAACTGCATGCAGATAACATCCAGATACCTCTACAAATATTTGTCAACGCAACACAAACTTCTCTGAATATTAACTTAAAAAGAAATTGTGAATCTATTACGGATCGAATGTCGTTACTGATGCAACAGAAAGAGAGAGAGAGAGAGAGAGATAGAGTTGGAAAACTGTTCGAAGTTCAAGTTAACGAAATTAATTAGATGAGGGAACGCAGAATAAGTTATAAATAGACAACTGAATTATATATGATCAAACTTCAAAGAGGTTAATTATAACTTCACCGTCGCTACTTTCACCCACATCATTTCCCCCAAACTGCTATCAGGACTGGTGTCATTTTGTTACACACACACACACACACACGCAGGCACACACACACGCAGGCACACACACAAACGCGCGCGCAGACACGCACACACGCACGCACGCACGCACACACAGATGCATTGTCAAAATTAAATAAACGTGGGTTATCGTTGAAAATGCCGACGACGAAACAAATGATGAAGTTTACATGTGCAGCTGATGTTAATAATTAAGTGCCAATGGTGATAATGATGAGGATGAAGATGATGATGACGAATGAGAAAAGGATTCAAACAAAAAAACAGCACAGAAAAGAAAAAATTAAAAAAAAACATGTCCTCAGAACAAAAACTATCAACAACAACATCACTACCAACTAATCAAAAAACAGATGCATTCGATGCAACAAGAGTGAAGATCATAGCTGAAGTTTTAAAATTTTCAACTAACTTTAGCGAAAGCTTTTAATAATTTAATTAATATTTTATTTTGGTTTTAACATTTAAATAGTTTTTAGTCTAAAACGATAAATTTTAAACGTTTTTTAACTTCTTCTTAGATAATTCTTATTAAATCCATTTTTAAACAAAACATTAAGGAATAAAACTTTAATAATTATGTCAATAGCTAAATTAAAATTTAATAGACTTGAACTACTTTCACTTAATTGTCGGAAATTTGTTGTTCCTCGAAAGGTCAGAAAAACTCTTTTGACACACAGGCTGTGGAAACCAAGAAAAGAACGAGGGTGGTTTAATAAAATAACTCGCTGTTTACTCAATGAAGCTAAATCTGAATGTGAATCAGGTCAATATTCAAATAAATGTCTCAAAATTGCTGAAATAAATATCAATGGTCTCGGTAAAAAATATACATTCGTGAAGGACATAATTACGGATCACGAAGTTGATATCATGGCAGTATGTGAGAGTAGACATTCAAGTTCAGAGGATGTTGTCTTGCACAGAATGGTTCCTGAGGGTTATTGTTGTCTGGATGTTGCACGTATGGTGAATGATGATAAAGTGATAAAAGGAATTGCTCCTGTTGGTGGTGGTGTGGCCGTTGTTGTCAGAGAAAGCATGAAACCAACAATGATTGAACTGGTTCATGATCTGAAGACTTTTGAATATATATGTATATCCTGCTTTCCAACAAAATTTAAACGAGTTTTACTTTTAAATATTTATCGTCCGGGCTCTCAACAGGCCACAAACTGTTTTTATACTGAAATTCAGTTGATATTTGAAGGTCTTGAAATGCAACATGGTCATATCATTATAACTGGTGATCTAAATATTCATTTCGAGGATGAAACAAATTCGCATGCCATGCGTTTACTGACTTTGATGGACGCTTTTGGGTACAAACAACATGTCATGTCTTCAACACATGTTTTGGGAGGCACCCTTGATGTTATCATTACGAAAGAGAATGAAATCATAAAAACAGTTGACGTTCTCCCACTCCCACCAACATTGTCGGATCATGGGCTGGTACTGGCTGAATTTGTTATAGCGGTAGATAGAAGTACTCCTGTTCTTACAAAGTTGATTCGCAGTTTCAAAAAGTTTGATAAACAAATGTTCCAGAAGGAGTTGTTGGACAGTGATTTATGCTGTGAGGATTCATTTTCCGGGTTTGATGTTGATCGGCTGTTCCAGACATATGAAGCAACATTTCGTTCATTGATTGATAGATTTGCCCCATTCAGGAAAATCACAGTACGTGCTCTAAAACCTCTCTGGTTTGACAATGAATGCCTGAACAAAAAACGAGAGGTTCGCAAACTAGAGAACATCTTTAGATTAAAACGAGATGATGAGACTTGTAGAGCTTGGATGACAGTACTGAAACAAAAACATGATCTGTTCATGCAAAAAGAAAGGATGTATTGGCAGTCAGTTGTTTCATCGAATGTCAAGAACCCTAAGGGGCTGTGGAAAGTTATATCAGCATTGCTCGTGAGGAATGAAACTTTCAAGCCTAGCAAGATTTCTGCAGAGGAGTATTTGAAACATATTGTTAAAAAGACAGAGCCAGCACATATCGATGATCTTTGTAGACTACAATCTCCTGTCATCAGAGAAGTTAGCAGTCATTTTGACCAGTTTGAGATTGTCGCACCAGATGAGGTGGCAAAAATAATGTCATTGATGCCAACAAAAAGTTGTGGTACTGACCCTGCACCATCTTTCTTGATCAAAGAATTTTCTGGTATTCTGATGCCATATCTATGTGCATTATGTAATGCATCACTACAATCGTCATGTCTGCCGGAGAGTCAAAAAAGGGCTATCATACTTCCTAAGCTAAAAAAAAGCTGGTTCCGATGTGAGTGATGTTAGGAGCTATCGGCCGATTTCAAACCTCACGTTTGTTTCCAAGCTCATTGAAAAATTTGTGACCAAACAATTGATCGCATACCTGAAATTAAACCGACTTTTCCCTGAACTTCAATCAGGTTTTTGCTCTGGACGCTCAACTGAGACAGCGATTCTAAAGGTCTTCAATGATGTTTATGAGGCTATTGATTTTGGTAGTATCTCTCTCTTGGCTCTGCTCGATGTCGGAGCTGCTTTTGATACGGTCAACCACAAGCTCCTTCTTGATCGACTTGCAAAGTCATATGGCTTGGGTGGAATGGTCCTTGCCTGGTTTGAATCCTATTTGTCTGACAGATCGCAAACGGTATGTGTTGATGGCTCTGATCCTGCTTCCTCCCCACTGTTGAAAGGAGTTCCACAGGGATCAATTCTGGGACCCCTGCTCTATGTTCTCTATACGGCAGATATTGTGGAAGTTGTTGAGTCATCGGGTTTGAAATGTCACTTTTACGCAGATGATATACAGCTGTATAGTTACTGTAATATCAAAGAAAGACAGGAACTAGCAGACAGAACTCAAATAGGTGTCAGAACTGTCTCAGAATGGATGCTGGCAAATGGATTGAAGCTGAATATTGACAAGACACAATACATCTGGTTGGGTACTCGTCAGAAATTAACTGGTATTCAGGCATATGTAGAGCCAGTCAAAAATCTTGGTGTTTGGATAGATCCTGAATTGAAGATGAATAAACATGTAAAAAATGTCTGCCGATCATGTTTTTACCAATTGCGCCAAATCAGACGTATAAAAAAGTACCTGACAAATGAATGCTTAATTTCATTGATGCACAGTTTCATTTGTGGAAGAATAGATTACTGCAGTTCAATCCTCTATGGTACAAGGAGGTAATTGGATAACCAAAAAATATAAAAAAGATAAAAGTTTGTGGTGTTGTTGTTGACACTTCTGAAAAATAATCATGAGAGAAATTGCGAAAATATTGTTTCGAGTTTCAGGATTGTAGTTAATAAAGACACTAAATCTTTAAACGTTTTGAGATGAAGCACTGAGAACAAACATGAATGATTCTATCCTGGATTGATTAACGCACTAAATAACGTGGAATTGAAATGTTTCAAATAGGTGAAGATTGAAAACTGATCGAGTGATTGGATAAAGAAATTATGATTTCAGCCGCCGGCGAGGAATGGTTAAATAAGAAACCACATCACAAGTTGGAAACCAATAACAATTAAGAACATTCTCGTAAAATAATGAGTAGCAGCCGAACCATAATCAAACTTTTCATTAATCACCAGTAATCTCACAATACGGATACGAAGCTACTCAACCTTGAGAATTTTTTTTTATCATTTAAATAAGATCAGTTATTGAGAATCGCGCCATACTTTAAAAGCCAATCAAGATTATCTGACTACAGTGCACACATTTTACAAGCACAAATATCAAGTACCTCGCAAACACGCTCATGCAACGGTTCTATTAAAAAAATGCTATTATTTATTTTTAGAGTTAACATCAAACACTCGCGCTTGCCAGCAAACATACAATTCAACTACAAAGGCACATTCATAAGCAATTTGACGAACGCAAACACCAAATAACACATATCAGCGTACAATCACCTCACACACACACGAGCGCACACACGTGCACAAAGAGACGCACACACACACACACACACACGTGCAAATGAAATGATATAAGCATTACTAACGATCGACAATCTGCCTCTCAACAGTGTTGAACCTCTTGAGTCGTTCCTGCGGCGTGACGTCAGCTGTGTCCATCTGGATGAGCTTCATGCGTTCCAACAGACGCTCAACTTCACCATCCTGCTGCTTATCAGATGTGTTGTGTGTGTGTTTGTGTGTGGGTGTGTGTGTTCATATCGACAATAACCAAAATAATAACAACCTACAACCAACAACAACAACCAAAAAAGGCAACAACAACAATCACTCACCGAAAGTCTCCTCATCATGGAACTTCCATTGCTACCACTTCCACTTCCATGCTTCTTCCTACCACTAGTGCTGTTGTGGCGACTGCTTGAGCTTGCACTGCTGCTGCCTTTGTGACTGCCGACATCGTTGCAGGCGTTGGTGGAGTTGAACCCGAGCCCTATGCCACAGGACTTGACGAGACTGACGAGAGAATGATAATAAACGAGAAGCACCACAGCGTGAGTAAGTTCTGAGATGGACCATTGCTGGCCACAATTGTTTTTGTTCAGTTTCTGTGTTGGGAAGAAAAATTTGTTAGAAGACAATGCACTTGTGTGTTGTATACATGTATGTGATGTAATTGGAAATATTTGTGATATTTATGTAATCGAGAACATCTTCAAACCAAAGAAGATGTTACAAACAAAATATTTGCCATCCTGTAATTGGAGTGAAATAAAAATCAGGAAACAACCTGCTTTCCATTTCAGAAGCGGTACGAAAAAAAGCATGCATTTGATTCTACAAGGTCTTGCAAAAATTAAAAAAAATACATTAACCCAAAATTCCTTAAAAACTTTCTTGATTTATCAGAACCAGATAAACATAATGACGTATTTCATTTGATTCAGAATCAACATCAACGGTTAATTAAATGTTTCACGTTTTCATCCTTGGGTTCATTCAAGCTAATAGCTTTAATAAACAAAAACTAAATGAAATCGAACTCCAATAAATGTCTCTACACATTCATCGAGATACCTTTCTAATGACATAAAAGGAAGTCGAAGTTTATTTCAATATACGCTACAACAAGATGCTGCATGACACCACAAAGCATAACACTCGACACGGTTGCGCAACAAGCAACGGCGACAAGAAGCAACCTTGATGTGTTGTTGATTGACTAGCCAGGGTCGGTGGGCGAGCAGTTTGTTGATCTCGTCGAGGTCTCTCAACTTCTGAGGAACGTTCTGCAGCCCCATCAACCACTTCTCGTTCTCGGACACGGCCCCAAACTCCGTGGTCAGGTTGTTGACCAGGTACGTACACTGGTGGCGACTCACTGCCTGCGATTGTAAACGATCATGACGTCATAATATAATATTAACATCACGTGTAATCATAACATCGTATATAAAGGTAACATCGTATGCAAACGTAACATCAAATGAAACGAATTTTATGTAACATAGCACAATAATCTCAAAGAAATATAGTAAAAATCATTTTTTTTATAAATAAACTAAAAATAATTTATTCAGGAAAATTTGCAGTATAGGAACAAAAGTCGAAATGTTATTCTAAACGATTATTTATGGTTTTACGAGAAAAATTTTTCAAAAACCGACAGAAAATGGAAAAAAGGGACCGACTAAATCAAAACAAGTCTAAACCACGAACGTACAAAAACTCGCAAGAAAAATAATTCAAACAACTGAATAACAACAACAACTAACATCAATAAAACTCAAGGGCGCTGAGTGTCTGTCGATAAAATTATTGATATTCCTTCAAACGAAACGTGCCCTGCAAGTAAAACCGAATTTATGATATCAGGTTATTAGGCCCTCTACTGCGGTCAGCTGAATAATGAGTGCCTGTCCAGGTCTACTTACGTTAGCAATAGAACGAACATGAGAAGGACTTATTTTTCACACGATACTGTCTTTGAAATTTCCAATTATCTGATGCGACCTCTTGAAAATCCATGCATGTTACAATGTAATGGAAAGTACACCAGAGCAATAAACAACAAAAACATCAACTTTGACATAAAAGATACCCTTCACAACAACAACAACACAAACAACAAAAAACAACAACTTTGATACAAAAGACACCCTTCACAACAACAACACAAACAACAAAAAACAACAACTTTGATACAAAAGACACCCTTCACAACAACAACACAAACAACAAAGAACAACAACTTTGATACAAAAGACACCCGTCACAACGTACCAATATCAACAACACAACAACTAATTGAATAACTACTTATTAATGCATTAATTGTTTATACATACACGTAAAACTGATTAACCAACTTAATTAAATTTAATACTGATTACGCGATCATTGAATTGCCTTTCACTTATTTTGAACTTATTAACCACGCTTGTAGCTTATTTAATACATTCACTCACTCACTTACTCACTCACTTACTTACTCACTCACTCACTCGCTCACTCACTCACTCATTCACTCACTCACTCACTCACTCACTCACTCACTCATTCACTCACTCACTCAATATTTTTCAGAAGCATCAACAAACAACAAACACACGGTGCATATACGTGAAACAACGCACCACATACATTGCATGTGATAAGCGGGAATCTCCATGCAATCGAATCTGGTCACCGCCATATCACAAGGCCATAAAAAAGTCTAAATAAATACTTTATATCATTACATTTCCAATGACAATCCAATTAGCCTGTTTACATTTAGTAGCTATATGTATACAGCATCTAAATTTTAGATGCTACAACTGTTACAAAAACCGATAATCACATTATCGTCATCGTCGTCATCACCATCATAATTGCTATCACCACCGGGTTATCTTTCTGGAAGGAAGTACATCATTACGTCATCACGAAGGTTATCAAATACTTCGTCATCATAACCAACAGCAGAGAACATCTTCATCAATAATGTCGCCATCATCACCAGATTAATTAAGATTTTTGGTCTCAAAGTCCAGCAGCAATTGAAATGACATCAGAATAAACAAATTGTAACACTAATATAAACAAAACATATAAGACAAAATTAACATAACATTAACATAGCATTAATTAGCATTAAGAAAAACAAATTTATGAGTAACAAAACTAATTAAAAACGTAAATTAAAATAAATTGTAGCATTAACATAACCAAAGTTTCATCTACGTGTATGACACAAATATAAAAACAATGCCAACATAACAACACGTCAAATTATAACACACACACACACACACACAAACACACACACACCCACACACACACATAATACAAACACAATACATGATCATCATAAACAAAAAGACTGTTAGAGTAAACAATAATAAACAATAATATTAAACTGTATCATAAATGAACATTAACATAAATAACAATACAATGCAGCCCAAACAATAACAGGACAGTATTATTGTCGCATAGAACTATATAACAGCATTTGAGATAAAAACAACAGCCAGATAGTAACACAGCATAGGAACCTATGAATAATTTAAAATTAATAATAATAATGATAATAATAATAATAAAAATAGTAATAACAACAACAATAATAATAATATAACTTTATAACCAATAATACAACATCAATAAGAGTAATGTTATAACCACCGGAATGATCAAATTGCGCTATGTTATTTGTATGAGATAGAAAATCTATTTCTTCCCAGTGGAATATGGACACCGGTTAACTCAGATGTTGTTTCTAAGGAAGCAGAAGAGAGATTCAAATATGAAGGAGTGGAAATTGAAATCACACGGATGTGGAATGTTAGATACCTTGTAATACCAACAGTCGCTATAGCCCTGCCTGGAAATCGCTGGTGGTGTGACAGACAATAAAGAACCTCGAACTGATTACAGGAGTCGAGAGAAAAAGAGAATTCAGATGACCGCTCAACCGGGAAAAGCTCCTATCCTCCGAAAGTTATTGGATGGTACCTTATTTGTAAACTGACCTACACCGTGATTGTCCAGTACAATGATTGATACTTCTTTTAATTGGAAAAAAATCGACATTATCAACAGAAAATGAAAAGAGGAAATTGTTTATGAATTAATTTACGTTATTATGGAATGAGAGAAAGTAGGGGACAAGTTGGTGAAGAAACTAAAAGAGAATATTTTTACAAATCCTTTAATAATAATAACAACAATAATAATAATAATAAAAATAATTACAGCAACAATTACACTAATGTTAAATGATGAAATCTTAATAGTGATATGACAAAAACAACTTTTGGTTTTGAGGCCACTGATGATTTTAAAATATTTGAAATAAACAAAATTTTTAAGCTTAACTGGAAATTAATTATAAGAAGCAAAAAAATGTGGCCAATGAAAAACATATTTTAATGTAACATTTTTCAACAAATATCCGGTCCGTCTGTCTGTTTTTTGCCTGTCTATCTATGAAGTTTTTTGGCTAAAGAATTGAATTTAAGTAGTATTAGTAGTGGCATTAGTAGTAGTAGAAGTATAATTATTATCATAATTTAAAAGTCTTAAACAGGCAATAAATAATCAATAAAATAGATAAAACAAAATCATCAATAGCAACAACACTAGTGACGCTAGCTAAAAAATTACAACACTAACATCAACCATTATAGCAACAACATCAACAACAAAGTTAACAACATAAAAATTGGTCATTGAAAACAAATTACAAATTGTTTGTATAACCTCTCAGCAAAATCATCCTCGTCAAATGAACAAAAATATGTGTACATATGCAAAATAAATAAAAAAAAGTCAATGGACAAAACAACAAAAAATGGACAAAACAACAAAACCCTCTTATAACAGCAACAACGACAACCTTAAAAACAACTTCAACAACACGTGTGATACTACCACACAGATTATCAACAATAGCAACAGAAAAACCACCACCAATTTATTTTTGAATAGATAAATTTTGAACAGATAAATTTTAAACGTCATATTGCACAATAACAATTCTTCTTTCAATATAAAAGTTGCTAGCATTGTGCGTGTACTGTGCATTATGTATGTGTGTGTGTATAGGTATTTAAATTACATCTACGTATTTATAATTTTTATATTCTTTATAAGCGTGTTTGTACATGTGTAATGTAATGTTTGCATGTGTGTGTGCAACTTCTTGCTTGTTTTGTATGTGTGTGTGTATGCATTTGTGTGCGCGCCTTCACATTTATGTGCGTGAATGAGTCATGACCACTGTTTACTTCTGTTTATTGGTATTTTACTACTCGGAAATAAATCAGCAACAAACAGCAACAAAACTTTCTAAAAATAGCCCCACACAAAACAATATGTTTACAAAAGGCAGAGAAGCTCGAGGTTGAGTGTGAGATTGTGCAAAACACAGAGGCCCAATAAAGCATGCACCCACCCAGAAGCAAGAATAAACCAAACCCCAACAACATAAACAAAAACATTTAGAACATGGCAACATAAACAAAAATAGCTGGAACAAAAACCGTGCTTGCCTTTCAATACATCTTGCCTGTCATCTGTGCCTATGCATCATCTACATAAGCTCATTCTCTCTAATTAAATGTGAACGATTATTTAAAAATTTGCTAGAAGATAATTTTGTAAAAAAAAAATCAACAGATACAATTAAAATTTAAGATAAATTAATGTTGCCGTCATCATCTTGTTATCACCGCCTTCATTATCTTCACATCACCATTATAATTTGACGACTGTTAAAAACTTCAAAGGATAGCATCATCAGCTCAACATCATTAACGAATACCATCACACACGACCTGACCTACAAACATCAAACATTTATTGTCCACTTATTTAAACTAGGTCACTTCAACAGACCTCACACACACACACAAACACAAACACACACACAAACACACACACACAGGTACGTGAAGAAAGAAATAGCAGGGTCAGGTGTTTGTTGTTGGAATCAGGCGTTCAATTGGATATCATACATCCACAAAGTAATGGCATGAAACATGATTACATTGTTTACCAGCATGCGAACACAAATGCACGCGAACACACGCACGCGCACACACTAAAAAAATGAAGAACTTAACTTTTTGTTTACCACTCATTTGGGATATCCAAAAACGTACCATCCTAACGATCTTTTTATTAGTTTCATATTAAACGTTATTCATCTCCCACACACCATTCTCTAGAACACTAAAACACAAATGAATAAAAACGCAACAAATCATTATTATAAAGATCACAACATTTATTTACCAATGACTGACATAAGTCAATGAATGTAAATAATGCAAACTAAACAAAACTAAACTTTGCTTGATCGAGCAACCTCACTTCGGCAAATAACAAACAAGCAACT